AAAGAAATTCTCAAAATAAAATATTTCTAGTTTTACAGTTCTGTTTTTATTTTTCTCTGTTAACCCAGACACTTTGAATTAACAGGTAAGAGACAAATGTTTTAAACCTCTTTCTAACTTACAGTATGCTGTTCCCTGACAGTATGGTGATAGTTTTCCAAGAACGTTCTCCTATCTAGAGAACACTGAGAAGGCAGTTTGCAATCCAGGAAGTCCATGGTATTTTATTTCATTAACATCTTGCATAAAATAGCCATGTTGCTGAAGTTACAAAAATAACATGCTTGACTCAACAGATATCTCTTTTGTAGATATCATATTGACAAGAGGTGCATATACCCAAAGCAGTTGAAAAGAAACAAACACAGATGGGAAAGAATTCATAAAACCCTCTTAGAGGAAGTACATAAAGTAGTTCATCTAAAAATGCTGCTCAGCAAACACATGAGGTCTCTGAGCAGGATTTTCCCCATTAAAATTTTAAAAATGCTTCTTCAGCCTTATAGCTATACTTGAGTTGCTATTACCTGCAAATAAACTACTGTTTTGCCTTAAGTTGGCACATTCACTGGCAGCTAAAAAGCCAAGTTTTCTTTGAGTTACTTTCTTTTCATATGCAGCTGTGCTTTTTTTAATTACCTAATGAATAAGATGGTTCACAGAGTAAGTCACCTACTAGGATAGAATTACTCATTAAGATAAAAGATAATTTACTCTTTGTTTTTATTCAATGTCTATGATATGGGACAGCTGTATAGCTGAATTACAAACTAGCAGTCAAAAATTTTTTTCTGTTCTATTTCTGTTATGCTTCTGAGTATAGTACTGCTGAAGCCTCATTGTTCTGTACAGCTATTAGCCCCAGGCAGACTTGCAGCAGCACAAAATCTTTAGACATTCCTCTACCTACTCTCCAGCTGCTGCAGAAGGATGCGGTGACTGGTGAGGTGTCACCACATCCAAAAGTTAATCAATTGCTTACAGTAGTTTCAAGACCAGACTAAGTCAAGACACTTTTATTTTTTGCTTCGCATATAAAACTGATTCCCTTATGAAACAGAAATCTGGAACTAGCATACAGTTCATTTGGAGAGGTAGATGGTTAGAGGTTTGACGACAGTAGCACTTGTAGAGTTAGATTTGGCACGTTAAAGCTAAGCTTTTGTATAGACTTCAAACCAGGCCACTCCTTGAGGCACTCTGCTCATACACATCAGAAAGTAGGAAAAGATGGTAAAAGATCTGAAAAACAAAACCAAAATCTAGTTAGAAAGGTATTAGTGCTCAATGAAGCAACTCTATTTCTAATAACATATCTTCAGAGTATGCCATGGACAGCTATTTAGGAAAAAAATCTGCTTTTTCTACAGCAATTTTTTAAAACAGTTTAAGCAATAAACTTTTAAAACCATGAAGTTATCCCCAAAAGTAAAGTAAGAGAATTGTTACAAAAGAATTGAGGCCTAGGTTCTCCAGGAAGCTAAACTACTAGGTGGAAGAACAGAAAAAATTGTTCCCTGTCACTTCACACCCACTAAAACATCAAGCAATCACTCTGCCTTTGCAAAGCAGGAACTTTGTTGTGTAACTAACAAACTACACTTCCTCTTCAGTGAGGTGGTGCTGACTCTGCAAACATGAACGCCACTGGCTCATTGAGAAAACACCAGGAATTACAACCACGAAACCCCTTCTTTTCAGAAAGTCCTGCAGGAGGTATAGCAAAGTAAAGGAATTTTACATATAGGTAGTTTAACTGAAACAAACACGTGTTCCATTCCAAAGGCTTTAACGGAGAAAGAAAATATTAAGCCTTTTACACCCTGTATCTGTCCATGGGTGTGAGAGACAGAGGAAACATTATTTCCTGACATCCACACCCAGGAACTATTAGACCTTGGCAGACCTTAATGGGAAACTGTATGTGTCACTGATTAAGTACAGTTAATTTGACTTTTTGTAAGTTATCAATCTGTAATGCTTACAGATGATCTGATTTCTTCCTTGCATTACTGCTTATAGATGAAGCTACAGTAGTGTGAATCCAAGTCAGCATACAAGAATATTTTTTAAATAAGCGTAGTTGGCAAAATTCACAATAGAAGTTAACCTTAAAAGCCACAAGAACTCCAAGGCACATTTCAGTTACACTGCTGTAATTCACTGCTCAAAAGAATGTGGGAAGTGTTTTTGTTAAATGGTCAAGCATCAACTTCTATACTGTTACTACTCTGGTCTTTAAACAAGGTGATTCATGCTAGTACAAACTTTCTGGAAGCTTTCCACAGTCTGCTTGAGGGGAGAACAGCTAACAATTTAGTCTGGCCGTGGTCACCTTTCTATAAAGCTGCCTATTAAACTTAAAATCTAGAAAACTACAGTTCTTTGGGTGATGTAAGTCAACTATAAAAGCAGAATTTTTCCAGGTTGACTCGCTATGAGATTTCTAAGGATTGTGAACTACAGTTAACTGTGTATTGGGTGCCTTGAAATAATATCTATACTCTCATCCCCAACAGATCCAAGTCGGGGCAATGGAGAAGGGGAACACAATAAAATTGTCATGCATTACTGTGGTCAAAATAATTACGTTATTGTGACTCTCAGAGTTTTGGTGAGACTACTGTGGATCTAAAACTCGCCTTTCTAAAGAGGTTAGCCTAAAATCTAATCACCAGAATTCTTAGGGAATGCCAGATGAGTGAGTAGTCTTCATGGTGATAGCAGTAGTGCTAAAGAACCTAATAAAAATTTTGGAATGAAAATCCAAGTGAGTATTCAACTGTTTCTAGTTGTTTAAACTGCTACCTGTGTAGGGTTTTTTGAGTAGAGTATGGCCCTTGCTACAGTTCCTGGACTACATACTTTTTTCTTTTGGCTTGGAGGGCACTTCACCCCCCCACAGGGGTCAGTGCTTTTCTTAGGGACCACCACTAATCTGTCCTTGGAAGTGTTCTTTAAAAGTTTAAGAACTAAAGTCTGCTTTATCTGCCACAATCAGGTTTCACCACATATGCTGTCAGGTGATTGATCCTATGTGAGAAAAGGGAAATAATACCCTTTCAGAGAGTAGAATTACTACACAACCAGGTTAGTCCAAAGAGCAGCTTAGCAGTAGGTGGCCCCACTACTTTGCTACAGCAACAGAAACTGGCAGAACCCCTGACAGCGAAGTGCTACTCCTAATACTTATGAACAGCATGTGTCCAGTACATAGCTGTGACCAGAACAGGGCAGGAGGGGGCCCAAAATGGGGATCTATACTAACACCAGCTGCCAGTCAGATGCCTTTTCTGAGTGCCTTTCATGAAGGCTCCCATTAAAGGCAGCTATTTTTAATGACCAAAGAGTTTATGAATTGTAATTCAAGAACTTACCACTGAAAGATCCTGAAGTAGTTCACGTAATTACAAAAATGAACAAACTTTCTGGGGTCTGAATGGATTTGTACTTGATGATACTCCTGTCAGTAGGGGATCATGTTGCGCATTCTGCAGGCAGAATTGCTTCAAGTCAGCGGCAGCCTGAGAAACCTACTCAAAATAACAGGTGGTGTTAGAATTCACTGAACTCTTTACTGAGGACATAAGTACATTGAAAAGTATAAGGAATTCTCACGTAGATTTTTATGCAATCATTTAATTGTCATTTTTGTTGTTTGTTTCTTAAAGGCAAGAAATTGAAGAATATAAGAGTAAGAATCAATCTGGGTGTTTAATTTTCATTTTAAACTTCTGAGCGTGAAGGGTGACAGATAAGCAACATCTCGAAGATGGCTTTATTAAATAGATGAAGATCCTTGTTCTAGCATAAATAATTTTAAAATACAGCCTAGAGTTTCAGATGCTCGACTAAACTGGCATTTCATCCTCCCCTGGAAAGCCATCCTTATGATGAGATAGTGTATGGGGCTTCTGGCAGGCTGTACCGTCGTAAAAACAGAACAGTGAAAAAACTCTGTGTTGCTTTTCTTTGCTCTAACTCTGAACTCATAAACCAGAACGATCAAAGTTTCAAGAAGCAGTATATTTCATTGGTATCTCGTGTCTGCAGTTTGCCCAGCGTTCCCCTGCTGTGACGGGCCGTGTCTCAGCCAGGCACGGCTCGAGTTCAATGCACTTTGTGTATTTATGTCTGGCGGCGACGTCTCCATTTTACCGTGCTGGAGCCTGTTGTGTGTCCCGGCTCGGGCCGCCCTTTCACCAGAGGCGACGCTCCCCGAGCCGGGGGCACGGAAGGGGCGCGCGAGACGCGTCCACGGCCCCGGGGAGCGGCCCCGGAGCCCCGAGGGGCTGCGGGGAGCGAGGGGCGGACGGGCCGAGGGCCGGGAGGGCGGCGGCGGAGGGGATGCGGCTGTGCGGTCGTCCCGGGCTCGCCCCGGCCGGGGAGCCCCGACGGAGCCCCAGGGTGAACCCTGGGCGCTTTGCCCCGAGCAAGGTCCGCGGGCCGGGGCAGGTCGGAGCCGGCGGCCCCGGCCCAACGGGCCCGGGGCGGTGAAATGGCGGCGCATCCGCCGCGCCCCGTCCCGTCCCATCGCGGCTCCGCGCTCACCTTCACGCGGGTCACACTCGCCTCCAGGCGCAGCTGCTGCACCACTTTCTTCATGGCCGCCACGTTGGAGGAGCCCGACATGGCGGGAGCGTTGCGGGCACACCCAGAGCAACTTCCCGGCGCGGCCACAGCTCCCGGGGCGAGAGCGCCTGCGCACCCGCGGCCGGGCCGGGCCGGGCGGGGGCCGGGGCCGGGCCGGGCGGGGGCCGGGGCCGGGCCGGGCGGGGGCCGGGGCCGGGGCGGGCGGGGCCGGGGCCGGGCGGCAGGGGCGGCGGTGCCGCGGCCTGTGCGGCCCGGGGGGCAGGCAGAGATCACCCACTGCCTCGTTTATCCATTAAGGGGACTGAAAGAGGAAGAAACGTTGAGACCAAGGTGGCAAACCTTGGTGGTAGTATCAAGTAAGTTCCAAGTTTAGAGATTAATTTGAGATGCGATAAATGAAGTTCCTAACTTTGCTCTTGCCAGCAGTTTGGGTCTTGACTGCAGCCTGGAGAATTAGTTTACTGCTCGTAGTTCACTGCAGAAAGTAAACCGGGAATGGTGGTGAAGCCTCGAGCATGGGATGGACATCATGTGCTGCAAAGTGCAACATCTTGCATTTACCAGGGACTAATGGCAGGAACACGTGCTGGAACCTACTGTGCCTTGGGAATAACCAGAGGGGAGATGGGATGTTACAGCCAGGTCATTCATGACAGCTTGCTGTGGTATAATTGTGCAGAGGTAAATAAAAATACAGGCCCTGCTAAGTAAGTGCTTCCCATCGACATGAGGAAGCCTTAACTCCACTGCAGGACGCAAGAGTGAGCCCTGGAAGGTCACCTGGAAGCTCTGGTCACCCGTGCTCAAGAACAGGAGAATCTGAAGTATCAGGGCAGAGCTATTAAGGGGATCAGGAGATCAGCAAGGGTATTTAGCAGGCTGAAAATCCAGGGGAGGTTTGTAACCTCTGGGAGGCTGAAGTAGCCTTCAAAGTGAGAGGAAAGTCATAATTAAAGGAGAAAGATGGAAATATTTAGCAGCACCTGTTGCAATAGGACAAGGGTAATAGTTTTAAACTAAAAAAGGGTCGACATAGATTAGATATAAGGAAGAAGTTTTTTACAGTGAAGGTGGTGAAACACCAGGTTTTCGGGTGAAGTGGGAGATGCCCCATTCCTGGAAACATCCAAAGTCAGATTGGACAGGGCTCTGGGCAGCCTGGTCTACTGGGAAGTGTCCCTGCTTATTGCAGGGGGTTGGACTAGATGACCTTTAAAGGTCCCTTCCAACCCAAACTATTCTGTGATTCTGTAACAAGGTTAGGGCAGAACCATGCTTTATAATTTATGAAAGTATGTTTCTGACATGGTTGCCCAGCAGTTAGGTTTCCTCAGCACACTGCATTTGGCTGGCACAGGGTATTGTTTGCTGCAGTTCACAATAATTGTTACTTTGTTAGATACAGATCCTACAAGAATCTTGTTTTGCAGGGATTTACGTCTGGGTCTTTAGGCAAACAGTAAAATTGTGTAGAAAATTATATAGAACTGAAGTATTTTTATGAAAGGGGAGAAAATGTTAAGAGGAAACACTCCAGGGCAGACCTCTGAGAGCTGCAAGGCTGTGATTTAGCAATTCCCTCAGTTACTTAGGTGATACTCACTTGTGTAGAAGGTGTGGTTGAGTCTGTTTGCACTTAGCTGAAAGCTTTCTGCCTCAGCACAGAAACAACTTTTCCATTTTCATAAATGGAATGAAGAACACTAACTGAGAAGAAAGGATATTAATGGAGTAACTCCTCTAATAACAGATTATCATGAAACTCATTCTTAAAGAATACTTTGATCACAAAGAAAATTAGAAAACCCATCTGGCATATGCTGTGGTCCAGTAAAGGGACTAGCATGTTCAGTCAAATGAGACCTCAGACATCACAGGTGAGAGTTTTTGTACTTTGCATAAATATTTTTAGATTTCACAAATAAAAATGAAGAAATATTAAAATAAGGTTCTAGAAGACCTGAGAGGAAAAAAATATGTTTTTAACATAGTATATATAGAAAGCATAGTTTTGTAGTTCATATTAATTAACAATCACAGAAATGTTGAATGTAGCTAATTTATATGCCTTGTAGTTACAGGCAAGTGTGTCATCTTTGTCCATACTGATTTTCACTAAAATTATCACTAGACATTAACAGTGCCACAAGTACCACAGGTCTGAACACACTCTCAGTGAACAGCTTAATTATTTTTTTTGCAGACATTAGCAGGGGCATTTCTGTGCTTCCAAGGTAGCTAATATTATTAACAACTGTCAGAAATATTTTGGTGTTTTTTTGTTTCTGACAATGACAAGTCGTGGTGCTGTTTCAGGGACTTTGCTTTCAGGGCTTTGCATTTTTTATGAGATAAACGAAGGTAGGGTTTCAGCTGAGGGGTTCTTGTAATCATGACACTCTCCGGAGTATCAACTGGTTTTGGTAAGATCTGTCCATTGCTGTTACAGTGATACACAGCAGTAGCACAGGCTCTCTATTCTTTCACCTTCATTGTGGAGTTTGTTCTAATGTGACTTATTTTGATGCTGTCAGCTGGCATTCAGTCACAAATTGCTCTGCTCATGGCTGTCATTATTGTGAGATAGAGCTTCACTGTTCTAGTCTGTGTCTAATATCAAAGGAACCATTCCTGCCTACAAAAATTGGAAGTCCACCTAAACAGAACAAAGTGTGTAGGAAGAGGATTATAATACATCTACAGTTGTGATCATCTGTTCTCTTTTTAGTTGGTGGAGCTCCATGTTCTTTATGTCCCAGCAGAAGTGTGGAACTTCAAGCTGAATACAGTTCCTGTAGCTCTTACTAGCAAATTTGTCTCAGCTGGATTTATAAGGTGAGTGTAGTCTTAGTTTTCATGTACGTGGTAGGCCCTTCATGCCACCCTTCAGTCATTTAGTCCAGCTGTTGCTCTACAGAGCACAGTTACATCTGTAAGCAGAAACTTGTTCTCAAATTAAATTTCTGGAGGGTAAGTAGTGCATTATGTTTATTTGTACCCTGTCAGGCTTAGCTCTCTTGCAGTCCTTGGTGTAGACCATTGAAATGCACTTCAGAGCAGTGCCATTATTTTTGCAGAATAATTTATGTTGTAAAATCATAGCCTTATATTTTTTCTGTCTCCTTGAGCCTGATTGTCAAAATCTTGTACTCTTTGGCAAGGGGCCAGCTTCAAGACAGAGTGGCTTGATGAAGACAGGCTAGCCTGTGAATTTCCAGGAACAGGGATATTATGATCTGAGCTCTCTCAGTCCAATGGAAGAGCTGAAGCCTTGTTTCTCAAGGGCAAGCATTATAGCACATGAAACACCAGCATATCTTCTTACAAAATATTTCTGAAAGGTTGCACACATCACTTTGTGCTAGGTGTGCTCTCTGTTTAAAGGACTTAGTGAAAGAATACCCTGTTTCACAGTCCTAGGCTCAAACCTGGCAGAGAGAGTTGCATTTTTAATATTTCATGATTTTGAAAGTTTTATTTATACTCCTACTCACAAAATCTTTGTGTATGTAGTGTGGTAAGAAGTTATAGAAGAATCAAATAATGTAAAGATATATATTAAAACAGAGCTTTTATATGCACTTTGCCTGCTTCTGTGCAAAACCTGTCAATTCAGCTTAATCTGCAGGGAATAAAGGTTTTAATTAATTTAAATTGAGGCTTGTATTATCCATTTAAGAGAATGTTCTTTGTAGCTGAAAAGATTGACAGTGGTCAGGTATGAGCATGTAGGGCAGAATGTATTAATTCTTGCAACTGCTTTTGTTGAAAGGCTGCTCAAAACCAGAGAAAATAAATGCTGTTCTAGTCTGCAGCAGAGGAGCAAAATACACATCTGGAGTGGTAACTTCAAAACATTTCATGTGATGGACATCTGTCACTGCCCTGTGTTTTCTAGTGTAAATTTATGTCACTGAGACATTGAATTAAATTAGGATTCTCACTGATTTCAGTGGGTTTATAGCAGTCTGGGTATTGTCGCTTGCTAATGTGTCTTAAATAATTGCTAAAAACGACTTCTCTTATTATAATCCAGGAGAGGGAAGTGCTACTCATGTGGCTTGGACGTTGCTGACAGCTCTGTTCAGTCAGCTTGACAATCCTAGTACTGTCTGAACCATCGTAACAAAGGGTTCCTAGGTCAAAGTACAGACCACTTCCATTAACTACAAAATTAGAGGAAAATATTAACTGTGTAATTCTCTGTGGTCCCGAGTTCTTGTTCCCATGAACTTGATTTCTCAGCTTCTGTGATCTTTTATTTATTTCTCATTCCTCACCACAGAAGCCACACTTTTCTTATTTCTAGATGAGATGACTGCAATGATCTCTAGTTTGCATTACTTTTAAAAGAACACCCTGAAGAAAATGACTCTGATGTGACTGTCTTCTGCTAGCCAGTGGCAGCAACTAACAAATATATTGTATGTTCCTCGCAGCTGCACTAACAAATAATTTGTAGATAAATTTCTGCCCTATTTCTCAGGCTCTGTATACCTAGATAATTTTCTCCCATGATTCATTTTACTTACTTAGATGTTTTCCCTGCTGTTCACAAATGCCTTAGGTTTAGGTTTCCTTGCTGGTTTGGACAGACCTTATCAGTGAAGGGTGTGCAGTGTTAGAATGGCATCTGAAAGAGCTTGCGTTTATTTGGTTTTGGAAGACCACTCAAGGGGCATATCTTCTCTGAGACACCAGCTTTTAAGAAATTATAGCTCATGAGAGTTATTTGAATTATAGATCATCTGTTGTTCTCACGTAAGACCTTGGAAGGATGTGTATTGAATTATGTATCCATCTTTCACATATGTCTTCATACATTTGAAATAAAGGATGCTAAGACTATTATCTGCAGCAAATGTGGAAAAATGGCTGGGAAAGAAATAAGCAGGAGCCAAATAGTGTGGTGCAGGGACCAAGTAGTATGGCCTAGATGTGTCCACTCTGCAGACTTTGATCTCCTTTGCTGCATGCTTGTGCTCCAAAGCAGTTTTATGATCTTGAAGCTCCTCTAAGTCCAGGGTGTTTGAAATAATGGAAGGGAAGCATTGTAGCCCACTGAAGTACTGTGTTCATGAGATGAAACCTAATGTTTTTACTACATACTTAGGGTGTGAAATAAAGGCCTATAGGCCTTCTTGAAAGTGCAAACAAATCTTGATGGGTTAATGAAGACCTGTTTGAGTGGAAGACACTGCATGTTCTTGTTTGTAATGTTTACTGAGAATGGCATGTGCTGTCCCCCACGCTATGTCTGTACATTGCTTGAAGAGTGATAGCTGCCTGGGCCAGAATCATACTAACACTTAATTAGCATGGGTCATTAACAGTCTCAGGCCTGGATTTGTTCCCTGGTTTATCTTATAGGGCAGCTTAGGAGCAATTAGAATTGCTTATGTTGTGCTACAGAGCTTTAGTGTGCCTCTTGCACATTTGGTTTTATTGTGCAGAGATGCTTTTTATTCTGTAGTGATGTTTACACTGAGCTCGTTAATATTTGCATGGTTTCAAGTAATACATTAAACGATGCAATTCATATTTGTGTCAGCATACTCATACTCAAGCCATAGTGGAAATGTTCACACTGCAGTGTTTGGTTTTTATTTAAAATACATTTGCACGCACACACCCGACTGTAAACTTGTGTTGGAGAAGACAAAAGCAAAGGATTGTGCCTGCTACTTAGAGTGGACAGTGATGAACTCTCCTCTAGCCCTGGGTGCTTAAGGAGGTATGTTCTGCAGTCCTGAACTGATCTCGTGAAACTTTGTCACTGATATGGAAGTAGATGACTGGTTTCCACTGTTGCTGTTATTCATCTGCAGATGAGCAACAGCATTCTGAAGGAGTAATTTTCCAATTTCAGCTACTTCCATATTCTTCCATTGTATGGTATTCATAAATTATGAATACTGGTAGTTAATGTTATGGCAGCCCTTGTAATACAGTGTACCTGAACACGATACAATGTTCTGACTCTGCCACACCAAGACCTTCTAGCCCTTATGTAATTGGGTTCAGTTTTAGAACATAGGTCACAATTTTGGTCATTCTGTCCATGCAAGCCAGCACATATGGAGCATTATCTTCCCCCTCTTACTAACTAGTCATCACTATTTGATCTTACAGATGTATTAATGAATAATAACATTCTAGGGTGTCTCCTCACATCACATTAAGAGTGCTGCGGGAGAAGCTTGGAGAATACCTGGGTGGAGTTACAGTTGCAGATAAATTCACATTTCTAAAATGCATTGGGAAAAAACTAGTAGTGGTAAGTTAATATTTTTTTTCCAGTGCTCTTCTGTTTTATAATGTAAATTAGAGATCTCATTCCTGCAGATTAGATAATATCAGATAAAGTAGAGATAATTTTTGGAGCACTGTTTTTTTGGAGCATTTGTTTTTAAACATGCTGCAGCATAAGCTTTTGTCAGAGCATATCTAATTTCCCAGGTGCAAAAGCATAGCTGGACAGGTATATTAAAAATATCCTTTAAAGCAACAGGTGTAATTAGTTGCCATGCAGTTAAAAGATGCTAGTTTTGATAAGTTAATGGATTAAATATGATAAATCTGGTTGCATAAAAAAGATTCCAAACCCATAAGATCATTATTACCGGTACGTGGTTGGGAACATGACAGCTGAAGAATTTGCAATGAAAGCTGAATAAGTCAGTTCCACTAATGGTTCCTGCTGTGACCTGCCCAAAAGCAGGGTGATGCATGTGAAGATTTTTAGAGACAAATTAAAGATATAGTTTTACTTTGGAGTATTTACTGTTCCTTGATGTTTAACTTTATAACAAAGTGGAAAGCAATCAACCAACTGGTTTATTTGTTATTTAGGGTCATGGTAACCTCAATGAATTACATATCCATGATCAAATATTTGCCAAGTGTTGTCCCCCCCGTCTTCTGTTTTACAAACACTAACAATTCAAGCAGAACTAAGAGCTGTGCCCTACTTGCAAGTAAAGGTTTTTAAATTACAAAATAAACATAAACCAAAGTCATGTTAATTTGCTCTTTCTTTTCTGCGTGTCTAACAGTGAATCAATGGCATTGCCTGGCAATTACTGAGAATAGAACTTGGCCCCTTGTTCAATTCAATATCATTATTTAAATGTAAGCTCAGATTTTTTCTCTTTTCCTTTCCTGGAGCTCATCTTTCAAATATACATAGAGTAGTTTAGACAGGACAGCTGTTGAAATGTGAAAGTTTATATCACACAAAGAATACGAAGACAAACAATGAATACAAGAAGACATAGAATAATAATAGATTTTTTTCTATATACATTAAATATTTTTCAGTATTGTATCAAGTGAATAGAGAAAATTATGTGAGAATCAGCATTTCTGTCCAGATCCATCTTGAAGCAACTTTTGATAAAGAAAGTTGAAAACTTTGAAAAACTGTTCCTGTGACTGTTGGATCAGGTCCTTTGAACCATAAGAGAAAGGATAAAAAAACCCACTCTGTGGGTGGTTTAGATTTGAAAAATAGACAAATTGAAGTTTCAGTAGTATGTCAGAAAATACAATAGCAGTCAAAGCTTCTTTTTTCCCGTGAGTCCAGTACAGATGATAATGCTGGTTATGGAAAAATGCAGTATGTAAAAATTGTAATAGAATATGTGAATTAAGTGATGTACAACATTATTGATTAAAAAGTATTGTATTTGTTAACCTTTTATTCTTTATCTTGCAAGGTGAAAGCAAAGCAAGAAACAGAGCTGGAACTGAAGTCATTTGTTCCTCCTTATGTATGTATTTGAATGGCTTTTAAGGTACAATTTTCAGAAACATTTCACATTGTGCATTTTCTCTTTTGTTCTGTCTGATGAATATACTGTGTATTTTAGGCACTTTATCCTGAATTATATTTATTACCTGGAGTGGAATACTTTGAAGATGTTTATCCGTTACCATCATCAACTCAACAAAGACATCACTTTAATGTAGAAGATGAAGGGTTTGGTCATGGATCAAGGTTACCCAGTCTTCCCCAGCAAAAACCTGAAAAAAGCAAACCGTTTTTAAAAAGCATACAAAGTAAGCATCAAAATCTGGAAGTGCAAAGTCCTGTGGAATGGGGTGAGAAAAAACCTGTTCCAGTTTTGCACACAAATCATAAGCAAGACCATAACAACAGGATTCAAGAAGAACAGATACAGTTTAGAGAAAAAGGTAAGATTAACCAGTCTAGTAAAGGGGGATGGTGAAGGAGAAAAAAAATAAATATATGGTCAACATTTACAATCAAATAATATCTGTGTTTTATAATATCAATTATTACGCAGATCAAAATGGATCCGATGGATCTCTCTTCACACCAAGTCATTCAAATCCTGCAGATTGGGAGTCTGGAGCGTGTGACATGGAGCAAAATCATCTCAGCCAAGATCAAAAAGACCGTAACACTCCTAAGTGGAACGACAAAGCCAAAGGAACTGCTTTTACTCTTCACGTAAACCACAGTGATGAACAAGGCCAGGATAACCAAACACCCCGAAATCACATTAAATATCAAAAGGGTACAAATGTTCATTGTTGTCTTTTTGCTAAAGCAAGTGTTCTAAAAAGTTAGTAGAATGAAGCTAAGTTTTAAGAAATCTGTAATTAAAGCACAAGTTGGAATATCACTATCAGAACAATATTCTTTTTTAAAAAATAATGATAATACCTTTCAAAGAGATGCAGTTTTACCTTGTATGAGTCCTTCTTTATCATTGTGTACTGATATAGAGTACTACTTTACTATAGTTGATACATTTGTCTAATCTTATTTCGACAAGAAAAACTACTAACCAGCTACTATTAAGATTGGGGGTTAATGATCCCATGATTCAACAGTAATTTTAAATGAAAAAATCTTGCTATGACTTTATCAGGGAGAACATTTATTCACTTCAACTTTCCTTGTCATCCATGACTACGTTACTGCTGAAGAAGAAGTGTTTCCTCCCCTCCCTTACATGTAATGTTTTTGATATGTTTATATGAGGGGACTACAGGGAAAATAATAATAATAATAATGGCCAGTCTTCGCGAGCGAAGATCCGGGGAAGGTCTTTCCACCTTCCAGCCTGCGCATTGGATTTTTTAGGTGAGACACAGTGTGCACGGAACTGAGCCCACCCTTTAATCCTAAGGTTCATCTGCCGGGGCCAAGCGAGCTTGGACGGTGGCAGCGAGGTCCTTAGGACGTAGGTGGGTTGCCTTTAAGGGCTAACGAGCTCCACCTGCCCGGGAGTGGCCCTGACCCGGAATCGAACCCGGGTCTCCGCGGTGATAGCGCGGCGCCTTTACCACTAGACCACCAGGGGTTCCACAGGGAAAATAGCATGGAGGATTTTAAAGCACACATTAGGTGGATCACAGTTCTGTGCCAAAATAGAAGATGCTGTTTGGACAACATCTACTAACCACTGCTTCATTTAAAATGGGGTATCTTATGGATATTATGGTTATTAATTCCCTGAATGGTTATATAATGTTCTCAATATTCCTAAATTTTTAGTGATTACCAAGAAAGAAATGACTGATACATTTAAATCGGATTTGAATGACTGTGTCTATTTTAACAAAAAAATTGTAATATAAATTGTTTCTGAGGAAATACTTATGGGAGACAAGTCTTAATATTTGAGTACAATTCTACAGTTAATGTAAAAAAAGGTGACCTTTACTCATTAAAAATTTGCAATAGAGTAATTATTAAATAAAGCAATATTCGATTTTTCAAAGGTATTGGCACCTTATAGATATCAGTTAGAATGATTTTCTGGGTATCCAACGCTTTTAACTAAGAAAGCAACAAATTGTATATTATATTCATTGAGAGAGTGTATTGGAAAAGGCTTTCATGAATGACTTTTCAGTAATTCCAGTTTCCAGTCATAACTTGGCAAAAATGGCATTGTCCCTCCATCATCTTGTTAACTGATATTAAGTACGAGATCACTTAATCTACAAATATATATTTCCGTAAATGTATAACTGAATACTTTTCCATAACTTTATTTGTAATTATGAAGGATGTAGAATTTTGTGGTTGTAAAAGTAGGGTCTGTCAGCAGTTTTCTTTTGAAATATTTATTGAATATATTTTAAAGCAGATAACGTTTATTCATTAATATTTAAACTCAAAACATTTTGCTCTCCCTTTCTTTGGTTCCAGTTTGTAAGGGATCTTCAGTGTCTGAAAGGCAGAAGGTGTTAGATACAGAATTAATTTAGGAAAGGTGAAATAACGAAGCAGTTTCTTTATCTGTGATGATGTTTCTTGTCCTAGTTACCAGAATTAGTCAGATATAAATTCTTAAAACAAAAATACCTGGTTTTTAATCTTTATATCTTTCTTCTGTTATTCATGGAACATTTAAAAATCCTAGATATGAGATTATTAGCTGTGTTGATTCATTGAATTTCCAATACAGGTTGGAAAGTCCAGGCATTGATAGTCAAAACAGCTTGATTTTGATGAGTTAATCTACAGATTTTTGTCATTACTATCCTGTCACAGCATTAACAAACATGGAAAATAATGAGCACCAGAAAGAGACAAAATTAAGAAGAGACAGAACACGGGATGCTGAAATTCTTAAAATAATGGAAAGACAAACTACAGAATATGTGCACAAAAAACAAAGGTTAGTAAATAATTAGTCTTCTAAAATAATGAATAATAATTCACAGCTACAAACTTCTTTTACAGACTTCAAATAAATGAAAGAAAATGGGAAGAAAACCCATTTAATTCCATGAATTTTCACATGCTTCTTTGATTTTATCTTCAGTTTGCAGCAGTATGGTACTAGAAAGACTATAGCTGATCTTGGTGAAAAACTGGATGATCAGGTAGGTTTTTCAAGATAAAACATTTTCCTCGTAATCTTGAGCAATAAATATAGTCCTCCACCTAGAAACAGTCTAATTTTATAAGACAGGTAACTCCTTATAAATATGAAATTCTCAAATGTAGATTTGAAAATAATTGAGAAAAGTTAATTCATGCCCTGCTATTAAGCAGGTTCGTTAGTGAATATCAACTATATTTCCAGACAATTCAATCATCAGAAGTTATAACCCTTGTTATAATTTAAAAGAAACTTATACAATAACTATCTCAGTTAATGTTATTATCTTTTTTTTACAATTTCTTGGCAGTGATATTTTACTGCCTATATTGATGACATTTTTATAATTTCATATGGGGTAAATTTGTTTTCCCTCATACCAAGCAAAACTTCTGATAAAAACTATAAATTCTTTTAAAACATAGGTGTGAATTAGTCATAGTATCAGAATAACAACATATTTAGAAAGACTTGGCACCCACCTGCAAGTGCACAACATAATGGCCATCACTATTAGCTGTAGCCTGTAACTCTCTTGCACAAGTGATCCTAGTGGAGTTGTATAAAAATAATGATGAAACTGAAAATCTGCGATTACAAATTTTAGTTTAGAAATTGTCAGTTTTTGACTTCAGTGAACCAGAAGGCAGTTTTAAGGCCCCTAATTCCTGGTCTTGCATGGGAGTGTCAGTAACTTGTGGGGTTCTGGGCATGGACAAGAACAATTATCAACAGTCTGTGTAAGTGTTCTGTGTTCTTATTGTATTTGCAGAGGTCCAGCTGTTTTTAATTTAGTAACCTTGTGTACTGGTAACAGAATAAAAAAGCTTATGTGCAGAATTCAAATTCAGCCCTCCCATTCACTCTGGCCACTTCCAGGGCACATGTCTAAAGTAACTATTCAGGATTATGGTTATGTACTTATAGTTGTGTCTTTTGACTCTATAGGCAGATGAAAGCAAGCAAAATCGTCTTACTTGTCCAAAAGAATACACTTCACCTCCTAGTCCACCTTTACTTTCTGTAAATCCAGTTCAAGTTCCTATACTTCAGGCAGCAAGTGAGTATATGATTCCAACAACATACAGGGAAGTGAACATTTAATCAAGACTGAAGAGTCAATGAAGACCCAAATACCTACTTTACAGAAGAATTTGTATATACATTTATTCACAGTATTGTTATGAATTTTAATTTATGGTTGGAAAATTCCAGGCATTTATGACTGCATGGGCTGTCCTAGAGCATGGAAGTTTCCCAGTGCTAGAAAACCCAGCTTGTGGATGGAAGGAGAAAAGGAGAGAGATGGAATGAAATATTGCAGGCTCAACTGAGAATGGAGCAAAGAAAACTTCTTAGTAGTATTGCTGAGGATCCTCTGCTGTGGTGGAGGAGGAAGAGTATAGTGAGAAGAAAGTGAGAGTTTGACCTATTGTACAGACTAGTTAAAGTCTGAGTTGCTTTCTTGCCTAGGACCAGATGGAGTTTAAGGCAAGATTTCACTACACTTTATATTGCAATGTATTTTGAGCAGGAAACAGTCTTTTGGAGGCTTTTTTGGCTGCACGTGGCAAGCGTCTTCAATGTATGGAGCGTATATGTATCTTGATTATATAATGTTAGTGATACATTGTCTAAACATATAGAAGGATGTTTGCTTGTTCACATGTGTGTATGAATGCCTGGATGCATGCTGGATTTCTACCTTTTTCTTAAGCGCCAGCCATTTTGAAAAGGTAGAGATTAATTTATTAAAATGAAATAATTTCTACTGCTTGTTCTGACAGAGCTTTTGGCATGATTTGTGATGAGTGCATTACAAAAATCTTGATTGATCCTTCCTATTTAGAGTATTCAGACACTTGCTAAATATAATTCTAATATCTTTAGAAAACAAGATGGTAGAACAATTGCAACAAATGAAGAAAGACGGAAGGCGCATGGAAAAAACTAGAGAAGAACTGATCAAAAAAGCTGAAGCGCTACTGGAACAAAATAAGCTGAGGAGATACCATGGTATACTTTTAATTTATTTTGGAATTTGGAATGATTGAGAAATTACACTGAAACCAATGTGTAAATGTTTGTCTCCTTGTCAGTGAGCTTTATTACAGAGAGCGCCAAGAAGACTTGTTTGTATAACGGTATGCTAGAAAAAATTCAAGGTTGCACTGTTTACTTCCACTTTTTTTTGTGGCAGTCTTATAAATTTAAAATTATCCTGGCTTTTATAAACTATTCAAGTTGTGTCTCATGTATGTGCAGTGCCCAGAGAGCTACTCCAGGCTGCTTCACTGTTTGAGGCCCAGGGCAGCTGATGTATTCTAATCCTGCCTTTAGCTAGTGCTTACTGTGTTGATGAGGCTTTGAATAAATTGCAGCATAATAATTTTTGTTCCTCCTCTCTAATGATATACACCTTATGGCATGGAAGTTACAAGTCTGTTGTGACAAACTTGATAAACCTGGGTTTTAACAAGGTCAAATCTCATTCAAATCCCACAGGAATTTTCTTTGTAAAATTATTTCCAAGTTTATACTTAAAACTGTCCTCCCTAGGTCATGTTCCAGTTATAGAGAGATGAGATTTAATCATTATGAACTTTTGAGAGCTTTCTCTTTGTCCTTCAATGCAGCTAAATCACTAGGCATCTCAACTCTTACAGGAGACAACAAGCCAATTCTTTCAGTTATTCTCTGAGGGCATGGCTACACTGCACCCCACAGCATGGTGAAGTTGTACTTTAAAAAACCCAGACTTGGGTACTTGGAGCAGTGAGGTGCAAGGCAAGCTAATTTACCTTGCTGAGATAAACCTTAAATGGCTCCTGCATTGTCTTAAATTATGTTTTTCAGTTAGGTAAAAATAAAGGTTATTTCACAAGGATTCAAACATCTTCTGCAGGTTTTTTAAGAAGCATCTCTCTAAATTATATTTATCAGACCTGTCGACTTTCATAAGTAAGTGCACGTTGCAAGCACGTTTCTTCACAGGGTATTAAGGAAAGAGCATATTCTGCAGGAACAGCAATCTAGTCTATATTTAATATCCTCCTAAGATTGCCATTCTGATAGTCACTCTCAGTTACATACCATACAGTCCCCAAGAGCTGAGTTCTTTTGGGGAAGTTTCAGTTGTTCAAATTCTGGTCATAAAGAGATCAAATTTTGCATAAATCTACAGTGCTACATTTTCTGTTACAGTAAAACTGTGGACTTCAGAGTGTGCTGGGCATACCAGTTTCACAAGCCTGGAGCACTTCTGTACAGCTAAAATCTGCAGAAAAGCCAGCCTGAATGAAACTTTGGGTTTGGGCCTTGTGTTTTATCTTGGTGGACAGATAGAACCTTTTGTTGCAAGTGCCTGTGTGAAAACTCAGTTGCATTTACAGTGAATGTAATTTTAATAAATATTTTTCTCTAAATGCTTTTTTAAAAGAAACGTACTGCCATGTTTCAGTGTGTGCATTGGCAAGCTGAATCCTGTGAGATCAGTTGGTCATGACTGTCTTCAGCAGACCTTAAGGTCAATAAAAACAAACAGTATTACTGTTTTCCTATGCAGTTCGTGAGGAATGGAAAAAGAAGTACTTTGAAACTAAGAAAGCTACAGTTTCACTGGAGGACACTTTAAACAAATTACGACAAGATTTAGAGGTTTACCACCAGAAATTGCTATTGCAACTGGAAGCCAGAGATAGCCAAAAACGACCAAACAATACAACAAACTCCAAGGTATTTGCGTGTATTATTTATTATCTCTTTTTATACAGCCCATTGTTGTTTTTTTCATAAGATATAAATTAAAGAAACAAATTCATCACCAACCAATGACTTGAAAACTAGCTTCAGCAGCCAAATACCCCTCAATGCTCTGGGGTATAGAATTCCTTGAGCCCATTTGTGTCAAAAAGACTGCAGAAATGTTTGAGTCTGAGCATTTGATTTTTCTGCTTCATGTTTGTACCTTTTCATAACAAATCCCCTTCTGTTCAGTATTATTAATGATAGATATATAATAATGATTAATGAACTGTTCAGATATGTTATTCCTCCTTTTGGGGGGGTGTATCAGGTCGTTTTTTTAGGTCTCCCTTGCTAGGCACAAAGAGACCTTACATGAAGGATATGTCCACCTTAACATGCATCCAGCAGGTACGGGACTGGCCAGCACCTAGAGATGACAGACAGGATTTAATGAGCTGTTAGGCTAAGCACAAGTATGCACTCCACCCCTCGGGAGCTACGTGCTGGCTGGGCAGGCATCAGTCAGGCAGGAAAGCAGAGGGGCTGGAAGGAGTTTAGAGGATTGTTTCTGAGTGGTGAAGTAGCACGCAGTGAATGAGGAGATGTGCTAATGCTGCACTTCAGGTTTTGTTGTTGTTTCACACAGAATTACACAATCATCCGGATTACTACAGTGCAGCATGAACTCGATCACCTGCAGAGGAAGCTAGATGATACAAAAATGAAACTCATAATAGAAATTAAGGTACTCTGCCTTTTCATTAAAACAGTCAAAATGTGACAGTGTGTAAAAAAAAAATTAGATCTTCCAATTATTAGATTATTTGCTAAACAGTTCTTGGTTTATGCTGTTAGTTTTATCATGTTACTTGTTGTAACTTTATCACGTGAGCCAAATTACTCCAGAACACCAGGTTATTAGATGATTTTGAATGTACGGCACTCAAACAACTTAGATTTTCAAGATACTATGGAAGCTAAGGTTTACAATCATTTTCATAAAAATCCCATTTCATTCAAAAGGTAATTGAAAAAATACACCTGGTGTGGTGAGGCACTGACCAGTAGTAAATAGACCATGGCTAAGGCAGAAGAAAAAATGGTATAAAGGAGAAAAACCAAACCAAAAACCTAAAAAAAAAAAAAAAAAAAAAAGAACAGAGAACGGCTGACCAAGCAGATGGAAGTCCTCTTCATGTGCTTTCTTCTATACCACTGATGCCTATTGGTCTTTTTGGAAGGAAGATGATAGTATTGGTCTTCACTGGACAGTTTTTCAGCTCTAAAAGCTTGAAACAGAAGTCTTCTACATCACAGAGATTGCCCATACCCCCCCTGTTTACTGGGTACTCTAGGGTGGATTTACTCATTATGACATTGTATAATAAGGAGTGAAAAGAATAATTAATTTTGCAGTTATCTCAAAAACATCAAGGCAAAGTACAGAAGAAAGTAGTGCTAGAACTAAGCTATCTAATTGGACACGAAAAATTTTAAAGATGAATGATGTATCCTGTATTCAACTATCCTGTATAAAATTCAGTCTTAGTTATATAAACCTATATGCATGTCAACTCCATAAAACTTCCTTAAATTGCCATTCCTTAAATTACTGATTCTTCTGCAGATGAGAAAGCAGGCAGCATCTGATTTACGAGCACTGAGAGTGGAACTGACACAGAAGAAGATTTATTCTGCTTTAATTCTCCAGTACAGAAAATCAGGAATTTAATTAGATGACATGACTAACATTTGTCAAGTCTACAAAAACTCTTTAATGTATACAGAAGATGAGAATTCATTTATATGTTCTTGAAGTTATCTTGTAAAAAGACATCAACTATATAAATGTTGTGGAATTTGTATGCTAGGCTTCTGAGGTACCGCAGCTCACATCGTTTTAAATCTTACTGTAAGATTAGTCAGCTGCTTGCACATGCAGTTAAAGCACTAAGCTGTTATATTTAAAGTGCAAATTAGGGAATTGTGTAACATCACGGTGGTATGCTGATGTCCTTGATTAACAAAATAGCTACTAAGCAAATAAACCTATAATCCATAATCTCCTGTTCTTATTTTCAGGCATGCACATAATTTTTGGAAAATTATTAAAATACAAAAGTTCTGTAAAAATATAGCAACAGTAATCCTTTATTTAGCTATTTACTGAAGTATATTTTTGTCAATATGCCTATCTATAAATTACCAATGTATTACTACTATATTATTATGAAGTATAATCTCACCTTATTTCATTTCTAGTTGTTTTTGTTCCTTTACTTATTAGGAAAGCCAAATGGACATTAACTGTCTTCTGTAGTTAGGGGAAGAGGGAAGCTTTCTCTTGAATGAGCATAATGATGATCCTGGTTCAACTTACACTGTTGCATATTTTGCTTTTCCCTAAGTCCAAGCTCATGCATGTGCCAAGATTAACAGTTCTCTGAAAGATAAATCAGAAATCTCTTCCTAGTAATTTTTTCCTAGCTCTTCTGTTTGCCTCTTTGCAAACCAGATGTATTACATTAAGCAGAACAATAATATTCTAGGAATTAATCTCAGCTAAAAAGCTGTCAAGGCTGTATTTATTACTGGAAGTGAAACACTCGTGGGAAATGAGTTATATGATGAGAAAATTATGCAGCTCTCAAAAGGACTAACTTACTAATGTCTTGAATCATATCACCCATTATCGAATTTATTTTCTTAAAGATAGGACTTAACAAAGATTTTTGTGCTGAAGTATTAAATTGACTATTAAAACTGCAATCACTTTTCTCAGTTCAGGGTTGAATCCCACATTCTCTATTTCAGAATCGTCTTATTTAAGAGCAGGCAACTAGCTACTGGAAAATCTGAACTAAATTTAAAAAAAAATAATATCAACTCACGATTCTTGAGTTTTATTATTATAAAGTTTTATTATTAAGGAGGAGTTTTATTATTAAGTCATCAGGCCCTCAGGATTTTGCAGGTCAGATATGCACTCCAGAAGACCTCTAAATTCAGCAAATATCTCAGAGTATTTTAGCATATGAATGTAAGTAGTAATACACATTCTCAAGTACCTATAATATTTGTGTAGATACATACCTATTGTATATAAAATGTAACAGTTTCTCCTCAAACCTACAAACCAATGTTCTAGTGAAAAGCCTTCTGATTTTTCAGGGGAATTTTTTTCTTTATGCAAGAGCAGTAGACTTCACCTTCTGTTTTCCATCACCTGTAGCATCAATCAGTCAGACAACTCATATTAAATCTTCTGGTCTTTTCCTCAGTAGCCATTATGGTAGTACTGCTATACTACAGGAACTATTTAGCAAGGGGAAAAAACCCAACCCATTAAACAAAAAACCCAACTTGAACCAAAGAAACAAACTAAGAACCCCCCAAACCAACCAACCAAAAACAAAGAAACCAAACACCAGTGTGTCCCCCCCGCCAAAAAAACAAACAAAAAACCACCACCACCAAAAAAACAAACCCACAACTGACTACATATATCTAATAAAATAAATTTTTAATTAATGGAGTCACTTAAGCAGGGCGCAGTTGCACTTCAGTCTGGTTCTGAAACAGTTCTGAGAAGCAGACAAGCAATGTGGGTTGAAAGCGGTACAACAAGTAAAGCACAGACAGGCAACATTGTTTACCAACCTTAATGAAGGCAGCATTTTATTTAACAAAAAATCTTGTAAACACCAGCCAATCTTTACATCACTCCAGATATTTTAAAAAGTTACACATTTTCTCCAGACAAATTATTTTATGAAAATACGAACTAGAAAGAAAATATAACCTCCTATTATCCCTCAGGCAACACCCCATAAAAACAAACAGCAGACTACTGAATGAGTCTCAGAGTGTGTGGAAAAATAGATATACAGTTCATTAATTAAGCTTCTGAATTCTAGTTTCTGGGAAGTGAAATAGTTTGGAATGGAAGGAAACATCATCCAAGTCCTCTACACATTAATGTTCCCTCCTAAAGATAAAGTCCAAGATTTTTGGCTTTTGAAACAAAGGAATTTTCGTGATAAACACAGTGAAACTGGGGTTTATTGAATATTCCCTTCTGACAAGAAGTCTGATAAAAATCTTAATGGCAACTACTTCACATTCCATAATTTCTTCAGTCTATAAAATCTTTTAATCTCTGGAAGAGTAATCAAATGCAAACACAGGCTTCACCAAGTTGCATGTAAGCAACAATCTGTCTCTCCAGTATTTTATTCAATCTGATTCTAGAGAGACTTAGCTGAAATACAGGTTGGGTTGGGAAGTCAGAAGGCTGAGACTGCACCATGTGATTCCAGAATGAATACTTGTCTGCACCAGGCAGCCTTAGCAAAGCATCATTATGAGACTGCCCCTCCGGTCTCATAATCCACCAATGGGTCTTACTTGTTACCAGATACACACTGGGTTCAAGCTTTAACCAACTTATGGTAATTGTGAAAAATGAAAAAAAGGAGCAGTCTTTAAAAAAACCCCACTGTTAAAGCAACATTGGAACTTTTTGAAGAATGAAAATACAGCTTTGCACATAAAACAAGATCAATTTGTCTGGTTTGCAAGGGTTTTGTAATCATAGTATATTTATATAAGGTCAAAATTTCTGATAGTGTAAGCCAAAATGAAAAATTACCAATTTTCATCATTCTAAATCAAGGGTTCAGATAGTTCTTACGGTGTCAGAGCTTGCCACATTGCTTCAGTTTGTTGTTCTGCTACAGCTTCCCTGGAATAGTCAAGACTGTTTCCATTCCACATGCCAATGCCCCTTAAACCTCGATTCTTCACATATGCTGCTTTTAGAGAGATGCTGCAAGGGTCATCATACCATACTTGGTGGAACTGGCCAAGAGAATCCTAGAAAAACAATTAAGCACTAGTGTCAATATCTACTTATCTATATGAATATGATACATTAAAGTGCATTGGGTTTTGATTACATTTTCTGTTGAATGCAGTTGAAGGTATAATTAAAAACTGAGATATACACACAATGTAGATTTACATAGTGATATTTTCCTGATTAACCAATTATTTTTCACACAGGATAATTAAAAATTTTAAGCCAAATAATTGGCTATTGTTTTACTTGTAGAAACTATGTTATAAAACAGTGGCACAATTTAACTAATCAGATGAAAAGACTTAGCTAATTTGTATTTTAATGTTTTTGTAGATACAGGTAGAATTTCAGATACACTATCTAACATAACAGGTGAATTTAGTTAGAGATTAAGTGGGTTTTTTAGCAATAAACATTTTTAGAGGAGCTTATAAAATGTTGTCCAAGTTATGTTGCTTTAACCTGGTTTGTTGCTTACAACACCTTTTAATCATCTACATGTGAAACTTAAAACCATGTCTAAAGAAACAAGACAAAATGCATACATGGTGATGTTCTTGTAAGAACAGTAATTTCTGACTCATTCACTGTGACTATGTAGAAAGCAAATGAAGAAAAGAATATGCATGCAAGGCACTGAGATAGAAGAGCACCTCAGAATCTGTTTTAAGCACTCATCACCTCATGAAAGTAACAGTGAAGGACAGAGCTATAGGATTTCCTAGTGCCAAAATGTCCTTTTTTGATGTGATACAGTATCTCAAGAAAACACAAAGTAATGAAGATCGTTATTACTCCTGTGGTCTTGAGGCACTGCACCCCCCTTTCACACTAGAAATTCAAGGTACAAAGTCCAGCAATCCTTTACTATACTGGAAAAAATAAGTAGAAAACATAAATGGAAGAATCTAATCCTGAAAACTTTATAGTCAAAGAACTATGGTTCATGAGTGTTTCTTCCACAACGTGTCTTCTTAGAAAGATATGCTTACCTTGTATTCATAAAATGGAGACTTCTGGACCTCATCCCACAGCACCCCTGAAAGAGAACTGTTCACCTGCTTCATGATAATTCCATAGGGGACCTGTCTGCCTGCAGCATCACTGCAAGGAGCCCCACGGAAAGGTACTTTGGAAAGAGAACACACATGATCCTGAAAAAAAAAGCAGAAGGCATGAGTTTCATGTTACATAGATGTAATTGAACTCCAAAATAGCAGTACAGCCAAGAAAATTCACAAAAGGCATCGGGATATCAAAAATCCCTAATCTTCAAGCAACCTTGGCAAATACACTACTTGTAGAGAAAAGTAAACTAGAAGTTGTATTTTGTTTACTCTCTAGTTATACAGGATTGGATGGATATCATTCAGCATATAAAGTTATCTTTTCCCTTTTTAATTCACTCTTACATTTTTCATAAGTATAATGCTGTCTGAGATTCCATAAACTGCTATGCTTTAACAGTCATAGGTTTGCTATGGCTTGTTGCACCTGTGAGTGCAGTGAGCTTAGTGATGGTGTTGAGAAGGCACATACAAATGTTGTAGGACCTTTGGACATCATCTCTTCTCATTCAGATAACATTTATGGCTCCTCAGTCAAACACTTGGGTATGGTGGGGTTCAGGTTGTCCAAGGAGATAAAATACCTTATCTGCTAACACACTGCTCATCAGTTATCAGCCAAGCAAAAGATTCTGTCTTGTGTCCAGCTTTATGCTCTTATCCATCAGACCACAGTATTTCCTAATCCAAAACCAAGATTTCCAAAATCCAGTTGTATCTTTCCAAGGAAAAAATTAACAGCATGATTGCAAATGAACAGTCTTCATCTTACCGTAGATAGGTTTTGGCAGACATAGTCATAGCCATACCAGGGGACACCCATCACGAGCTTTTTAGGATCAATGCCCATAGTAATGTACTCTTCATATCCTAGATTTGAAGGAAATAAAAATTAAGATGCATTACTTCCTTTTCCCATGCTTTTTATTCTTACAACTGATCTACAGCCAGAGCAATATAGGACTTGCATGATCCCCAGACAGGCTAAAGGGCAAGCTCTGCTTTACCTCTACCTGCACACTCTAAATAGAGAGGCCTGCTCTACTGAGATTCTAGTAACTGCTCTGGTTGCTCACACTAAAAACCATCTGGCCTTAGCAGAAGCTCACAAGGACAAAGAAATGTTTCAGGTTCTTTGCAAGCCCAGGCAGACACCATTGCTCTGGCTGCCGTTTGCCATTCTAAAGTGCTCTTCACTCATGAGGGCTACACATTACAAATAACAACACACAACTGCTAGAAGCCTGCCTGCAGTGTCATAAGGATCAGAGATACTATTTTCACATTAGGACACCACATATTTGAGCACATTGGAAAGCTTCAATGCAACCAAAAAAAAAAAAAAAAAAAAAAGGCAGTCAATCTTTTCTATCTATTCATGTGAACAAATGGAAATGTTCTGACTCCTGGGGAGGTGTTTTGTCCTCACCAAATAAAGTCTGCAGGTAAGGGGCATTGGCTTTTGCAATACACTCTGTCCAGATCTGGCTCTGTTCATCATATGACATCACAAATAAGAAGTCACAAGCATCTGCAATCCCAGTGTAGTTGTAGCACCTTCTGTCTATGCATGCTGGAGACCAAGCCACATCAAATGTTACCTGAAAGAAAAATGCACAAGTTAGTATCGTGTATGGTTTCTAGGATCTCATTTCATCTTTTTAAAAAAGCTGTCACTTTTCAAGACTATTTCCTACATGTTGCAGTTTAATACACCTTGATAGTAATGAACATAGGAGAGGCTGCTCAGCTGACAAAGCAAACACTAGATTAAAAAGTGAGAGCCCCACTAGTGCCCCTAGCATCAAAGAAATTAAAATATAGTATGAAAAAAAATCTGACCAAAAATATGAAGCATGATACAAATCCTTAAAACTTTAGTGATGGGTTTACCAAAACACTGTCAAGTTTTTGCCCCAGAAGGCTATATTTGCCCTATTTTCAATGTTTCATTAAGCCATACTAAGTGCCAGCTCACACAAGGCAGTAACGTTGTATCTATGGATCCTGGTGAAGCCCCTCTTCTGTTTAAATTCATACAGGTCAAAAAGGTGATTCTTACAAGACCGTATCAGAGCTAACATTCATAATGAACCATTCATGAGAATATTTAGATCTGCATAAACTTTTCATATTCATGTGCTAAACAGCATTGCCAAAACCCATTGCATTTCATAAAGTGAATGTTTGTATAAGGTACACTATTATTACCTGTGATCCTGGTATTTCTCTGTGAAAAGCATCTGTAGTTTCTTTAACAAGCTCCGTCAATGCATAATACTCAGGGGAGGTTTCGTTAACTTCTTGCTCTATATCGATGTTAATTCCATCCATATACTGTTTTTTTGCAAGGTCCACCTGGTGGGATATCCATGCCGCTCTTTTAGCAGGATCAACAATTTCCTTAAGAGGTACATCACCTAGATAAGAAGCCTTCAAGAGTTAACACGCACTTGCACCACAGTAGTAGTAAGGAGGAAAGGCTTGTCTTTACTAAACCAACAAATACAAACATAAACCAAAAAATGCTCATACCAATACTGGTAAAATACAAAGGAGTTAACTTTTTCCCCAAGCATAATTTTGAGAAACCACCCCAGAATTGATTACCAAACTTCTTTGAGACAGCGATG